AAGTTCTTCAACCAAATCTTTTTTTACCGAACTTCGAAATAACCATATATTCCGCTTTAATTGTGGAAAGAGCAACACACTTCTAAATTTGAGATACCGAACTCATAACGAGTATCATCCAAAAACATAATCTATTATATTATTTTTATTATCCAAATCACCACCTAAATCTACATCAATAAATTCTTATAGAATAGTATTATTTTTCAAAAAATAAAAGGTCATACATGAAGTATCTTTCGGATAACAAAAAATCTACTTTACTCCTTTTAATGCTTCTTTTTTGGATTTATCATATACCTACCGACAACTCCCACTATGAGTTATATCGGGTTTTGTATAAACCATAGCATATACTAGGCTTATGACTCGTTAATGTATAAGAGAGTGTTGATATTTTCTTTTGTTCTTTAACTATCTTTGGTGATCTGCTTCTTTGAAAGCCGGAGATGGCTTCCTAAAGGAGTGATTATAATCTTTCCATCCTGAAGGTTGAATTTGCTTAGCTCTTTTTGAATGTGTTTTTCTTGAGACAACTTCAATGTACCTTCTAATTTATATATACTAATTCCCATCATAAGTATCTCGCTTCACAAGTCTTAAGTCCTTCATCTCAAATTGTTTAGCTAACTATTGCTTGAGCTTATTGATCCATTTCGGGTTAGATCCTAGGTGAATGTCTTGTCGGTACCGATGCGAGTGCTCTCATTTTTGGTAATGATGCATAGGTAGTGTCTTTCATTTAATGTCTATCATTTATGCTTCTTCCCGATAATGAGTATGCCCGAATAGCTAAGAAGGAATGAGCAAACGGGGTGTCCCGATTGTAGAGGTTCTTTTGGTATAAGGGATCTTGTATATGTATATTTGAAGCGAGTGAGGGTCTTTTTCACGAGTTGTGAAGGACACGTGTTGGGGTGTGATTTTTTTCGAGTATGTTGTTATGTAATTTATTTGCCTTTAATGTTGCTATTTAGAAATAAGAATGAATCATTACTTTTATTTTTCTAGTTGCCATGTGTCTTGACAATAGGCCCACATAACAATCTTACATGTGCTTCAATCGGACATGTCAACCTAGAGGTAACGAAACCATCTAAATAGAAAAGATTACAAGTTGGTATACTAAAATAACAAATATCAAAGTTTACACACTTAAATAAATAAATAAATAAAAGAATTGGTAAGTTTGTAAAAAAACTTGACAATAGGATCCATTTGTTGGTGTGATGCTTGCAGCTAATGTTCGATTCAACATAAAGAGTTAATGAAAATTTTGATTAGAAAAAGAAAATTTCAACTTGATCTTTTCAAATAATAAAGATTAAAGTGCACACACTTCATTAGAAAAAAAAATGATAAGTTGGTAAACCATAATAAATTTATAGAGAATTCAGGTGCAAATGGATACATTATTTGGATTTTTAATAAAAGTAATAGTAAAACAAAAGTTAATTATAATTTAGTTCTTATAGTCGATCAACTTAATAGTTAGTGCTCATGGTTTTAGAAAACATAAATGTACTTCCTATATTTTTAAATCCATTTATAATTTAGTCTTTTTTTTTCTATTTCGTATTTTTTTCCAATTTTTTTTATTAAAAAAAGAAATAGATAATATTAAAAGATTGATGAGAAGAAAAAAATAATTTTTGAAACAAAATATGAATAAATTAAGCATTATCAATACTGGTTAATATATTATTTAATAATTTTTTATTCTACAAGGAATAATTTATTTATTTTGATAAGCTATAAAGACTAAATTATAATTAACTCTTAAGACAAATATAGTTTATTTATTTATTATTATTTTTAAAGAAAAAGACAAATAGAGTTGATCACATACATTTTTTTTCTCTACTTGATCAATCCTTATTTTTGAATTTTTCAAATTTGATCGTTATATTTGTAACATGTTGTCAAAAAGAAAATTTCTCGAAGTACTTGGTACATATTCGGGCCTTTCCCTTCTTCTGTTTTTGGTTACTTAGACCTCCAAGGATTGTGCTTTGTGGCCATCTAATTGTTCAAGTACTTGGTTTGGGCCCATAAATGTATCTTTTGCATTCCCCCTTACCCATTTGTTTGAAGTTTGTAGGCTTAGTGGAGGTACCGAGCCGAAAACAATTTGCTTGAGTCTTGTGAGCTCAGCTAGTGGTCCCAAGCCTGAACTATTTGCTTGGGCTGATGCATGTATTTTGAAATAAAACTTTTATTTGCTTCTAGACCAAGCATAAGATAAGCATATAAAAAAGCAATATTAGCTAACAAAATTTCACAATAATTAAAATTGTTTAATTTATATTCTTTTGATTTCTTTCAATTTCACATTGATTAATTCTAATCAAAGCCTTTGAATTTATATTTTTTAATCATTTTCTAATTACACATCTAATTGAATGTTAATTTTTACTTTTCATATCATTTTTAGTTGGATTCTACGTCATATTTTCAATCTTTTTCTTTTTTATTATCTATTTTTTAAAAATCTTTTTCTCTCTTTTTTTTAAAATAAAAGATAATTCCTAAAATTAAACATAAAGCTAATCAAGGTTAAAATAGATCAAAATTAAAATGAGAATAAAATAAAAGTAAAAGTAAAATAAATGTAAAACAAATAACATAAAATACTAAAAAAATAACAGAAAATGAATATAACTCAAATTTTGGGCATGGCAACTCTGATGAATTAAATGTTCTTGAATAAATAATAATTTAGTCCCTTTTTTTTAGAAATATATTAAATTAGTTCTTTAGTTTCAGAAATCATAACATAAGAACTCCATTGGTTTTTTAGGAAATGGTTAGGCAATCCTTTAGGTTTCTTTCAATTAATATATAATCAAAACGTATAATTGAAAAAAAAAAACATATAAATTGGTGAGAACTCGGTACTTTATTGATAGACGACGGAGTTATAGATGGAGATAAAAATTAAGGATATGATATGGGCTTTTCAAAACAAAGGAATTAAGTAATAATTTACTCAAAAAACTTTGTATTAGTCCTCCAAGACTTCAACTGTCAAAACAAGGTTTGAATTCTGGATCCTTTTCATGTGATGACTGTCTAATTCACATTATTTTTCTTGGAGAAAAATCTTTCAAACATTTTGCTGACGAAATGTTGCTTGTCGTGGAAAATTCAAAAAGAACGACTAAAAGAAATCGGCTAATTATATAAATCATATTGCAGCAGAATACTGGGAAATTCTACTATGCTATTCTTGGAAAATCTAACGTCTTATAACCATTCTGATGCAAGCAATGACAACAAAAGCGAAGCACCTAGAAGTACAAGAAAAATTGAAAAATTCCCCAAAGGACTCTGAGTTTTAATATAAATTATCGTGTTCGCCTTAGTTCCACATTGCCAAGGGAAAAAAGAAACAAATTACTGAGTAAAATCTTGTTTTTGATCTTATGAAACAAATGGCTAATGAAGTAGTTCTATTAGATTTAAAGGTTAGTCCTTTTGCAGCAAGGGTCAGGATAGCTTTGGAAGAGAAGGGAATAAAATATGAATCAAGGGAAGAGGACTTGAGCAACAAAAGCTCTGTTCTTCTCAAGATGAACCCAGTTCATCAGCAAATCCCTGTCTTGATCCATAATGGGAGACCCATTTGTGAATCAATGATCATAGTTCAATACATTGATGAGGTTTGGAACCATAAATCTCCATTGTTGCCCTCGGATCCTTACCGACGTGCACATGCCAGGTTTTGGGCTGACTATATCGACAAGAAGGTAAGTTCCTGCTGCTGATATATATATATATTTTTCCCTATAAATTAATTCTGTCTTACTACGTCAAATTAATGCGAGGTAAAAATGGGGGAAAACAGCGGAAATTAAGGAAACATCAATGAAATAATATGTTCTGTTCCTATATATTCAGCACAGTATATTAATCTATCTTTATTGCCATTCAAATTGTTTTCGTGCAGATTTATCCTATTGGACGGAATCTATGGGCCTCTAAAGGTGAAGTCAAAGAATCATCAAAGAAGGACTTGATTGAGTGCTTCAAAATTTTGGAAAGAGAACTTGGAGACAAGCCATATTTTGGGGGTGAGAGCTTTGGCTATGTAGACTTGGCCCTTGTTCCATTCTACAGCTTCTTTTACACATTTGAGACCCTAGGAAACTTGAGCATGGTGGCCGAGTGTCCTAAGCTCGTGGAGTGGGGAGAAAAATGCTTGGAAAAGGAGAGTGTATCCAATACTCTGAGTGACCAGCAAAAGGTTTATGAAGCCATTTTGCAGATTAAAAAGGAGCTGAGGGTTGAATAATTATGTAGTAATGCAAAAGAAGCTTGATGCTGTGAACCTGGTTTTTTAAGTTTTTTGTTCTGGTACTTTTATCGGTTGAATAGTTCGGCCTAATAATAATAAAGGGTCCTTGGAAAATAATAATGTATCTTTGCTCTGGAACTGTTATCGGTTGAATAGTTCGACCTAACAATAATAAAGGGTCCTTCGAAAATAATAATGTATTGAAATATGGTCTGTTCGGCTTCATCCTCTCCTCTGCCCCCCTTTCACCCTTTTCCTTATTTGACTTGTGTAAACATGTAATTGTTGAATATGATAATTGATGACCGTGTGAAAAATTAATGACGATCACAGGAGTTACTTAATAAAACAAATAAACAATGATAAGAAAAAAAATGTCCGGGGACTTATACAAACTAGAATACACAGTTCAACAGTACTGGATAGAACAACCAGAATTGTTCAGAAAAGAAAATGACAGAACAACAAGGTAAATTCAGATATTCTAGCTAGCTAACCAGAATGAGCAATCCAGTTGGAGATTCAAAAAACACACCCCAACATGACAAAAGAGACTGACTAAAATGTGGCAAAAACAACACAATGCACTAGCAAAATTGTTGTTTCTCCCCTACTTATTTGATGCAGCAACCGGGAGCCCACAGTAAAACCATGGCTCTTTATTTGCACTCAGGAAAATGAAAAAGGCTATTAATTGAAAGTCTCACATGGCCATAATTATGGTTTGTTCAACCAGAATGACCTCTGCATGTGTCTTGATAGATGAAATGAAGATGTGTTTGAAAATTGGTGATGACGATAAAGAGCTATCACTGACACCAAAACCGCTCTCTTCCTCATCAATTGCGTCTAACTTTGTTGTCATTGGACGCTTAGTCACAGAGATAAATTGTGGGGGAGCCACTGTCATGAACCATGGGGTTTGAAACTTGGCCATGCGAACCAGAGAGCACAAAGAAGGCAGAGAAATTGGCTAGAGTAAAAATGGGAAACTAGTGAAAAGAGAAGAAGGAAGAGATGACTTGCTTGAACACTCTCCGCCAAATTTATAATGCTTGAGTTATGTAGAAATTGAAGGCAGGGTTAATTGTAGCTTTCATGCGGTCAGTTTGCATGTGAGCAAGGCTGTCAATGCATTAGAATGCATTACCAAACAGACACCGACGGCCAATTTTCTTTTTTGATTTTTTGAGCCAAAATATTTTCATTTCATTAAGTGAAAAATATAGTATACAATTTTTAATCCAGTTGTCCAGTTCTAAGTCTAATCTTTTTCTTTTTTTTTTGATTCAGTGAAAAATGTGGTATACCATTTTTAATCCACTTGTCCAGTTGTAATTCTAATCTTTTTTATTTTTATGAACAAAAAATTTCAGTCATTCAAAACTCCTAAAGAATATCAATTTCTTTCAATCCCAAGAGATATCTACTACAACTCAATAAAAAAAAATTATCAAAATCTTATTGTGAAGATAATACATCCTATCGAAATAGAAACCAACTGCACAGGTCAAATCACGATTTAAAATTTAGACCAATTTAAGTCTAAGTTCTTGACACCCAAAGAAAAGAAAAAGAAAAGAAAAGGCGAACGAAGGGTTCAAAAGTTGCTGAAAGTGTGCTGAATAGTTGTTATCCTTTGTTCCTAAGTTACAGAAAATAAAGTAGTGTTTTTAGAACGTTTGTTAGTGTTCGAAAAGTCAAAATCCTTCGTTTTCAAGTTAGAAAAATCCAAAGTACTCGTTTTTAGAATGCTAATAAGTATGCTGAAAAGTTACTATCCTTCGTTTTTCAAGTTATAGAAAACCAAAATGATGTTTTAAGAACGCTAGTTAGTGTGTTGAAAAGTCAAAATCCTTCGTTTTTAAGTTAGAAAAGTCCAAAGTACTTTTTTAAGACTCGCTAATAAATGTGCTCAAAAGTTATTATCCTTCATTTCCAAGTTACGGAAAACAAAGTGGTGTTTTCAAAACACTAGTTAGCATGCTCGAAAAGTCAAAATCCTTCGTTTTCAAGTTAGAAAAATCCAAAGTACTATTTTTAGAATGCTAATAAGTGTGATGAAAAGTTGTTATCCTTCATTTCTAAGTTATAGAAAACAAAATGGTGTTTTCGAATGCTAGTTAGTGTGCGAAAAAGTCAAAATCCTTCCTTTTCAAGTTAGAAAAATCCAAAGTACTATTTTTCGAATGCTAATAAGTGTTCGTACACCGAAATGAAATCCATTTATCCGATTATTAGCACAAAGGTCAAGTTTTCATCACACTCGATATTCATTTAAGTGATTGTCAGCGCAGAGTTGCATTATGAAATTATAAATAAACAAGCCAATTATGAAGTTGTAACTAAACTAGTGTAAGTTAAGTATCATTCACAAAATCACTATAAGTACGAAGGAAAATACAATATGTACGAAAGTATCCGGACAATTAGAATGTAAGATCGTCATTTCTTATTTTTTCCGAGATAATATCGAGTGGTGGATAAGCTATTTTTTTCTTCTCTAAGTTTTCGATAAAGTTGATCCGATTATTGTAGAGGTTTCGACCAAATGGATTTGCCGCAACAAAGTCTCTAACATTGTCGAACCGGCCGGGTTGTTCGGGTATTTGCATAGGTCACTCGTTCCTTCCTGTTTGAAACAATAGGTGTGAAACGAGTTAATAATATAGTTTCAAACATTGCGTACATATATATTGTGAAAACAATGTTGAGAATATTACCTAACGATTTTTCTCTTATGCTTGTAAGTATATGAAAATATAGCATAGTGAATCTATAAAAAAAACATTGTATAATTAGAATAACAAGGATATGAATGCATTATATGGTGAATACGGAATATTTTCATGGAAAAGAGTTATAACATTATCGGATTGTGCATTGACTTATATGGAAAATTATCTACCAACAATTTATTTGACTCATTTTATGGAAACCGATTCCACATTTTGGTCAATTTCTTTAAAAAATAGGGTTTGTCCCGATCTTCAAGTTCAACGAGTCGCAATTTGATTGTTCTTACATCAAAGAAATCATACAAACCAAAATTATACAACGAGTAACAAAATATGGATTTATCAAACTCATTATGGATTTATACTTACCTAGACAAAGCAAAACCGATCAATTTTGTCCCTAAATAACCCATTTAGCATGGACATTGTCTTATTTCTATAAAAAAAATAGTAATAAATTTGAATGATATGAAGTTTCAGCACACCGAGTAACATTCTAAAATTATACAAAGTAGCAAAGAAGCAAAGTTATAAATTTTTTCAGCACACCGAGTAGCATTCTGAAATTTAGGGGCTTACTTGTTTCACGACGTCCAAGTACCAACCGTAAATTTTTCGAAGAAAAACTCCAGAAATCATCAACATGGGGCCTCTTAAAGACCGAAAGGAAACATAAGAAAAAGAAACAAGTAATCGATAAAGAGCTTAACAAACAACAAGGAATAATGTAAAGGATAATGTTTTGTTCACTTGGTTTGTCTCTTAGTTTCATGTTTCCATTCTTTTTGGTTGAGGAATCCCCAAGACTCAATTAAAATCTATTGAGATCAAGTATTAAAAGCTTTTTTGCATCCTTCCGAGTGTCTTCATGATGAGGCTCGGATTTTCATGCACACTCTCTTGATTTTGAGTTGTTTGTTGATCTATGCTACCGAGAATGTTGTTGGTGATCCGGAGAAGGATTGGTTTGGATCTCTTTCATTACATTGGCTAGCATTGTTTTAATTTTGTTGATGACATCTATGTTTTCTTGCAATCCATCCGTAACAAATTGTCTCAAACCACTTAATTCCTCCCCAATGTCTCCAATCTGCTTCTCGATTTCATGTACTTGAGAGGCTTCTATGCTTAGTACCGACAGCGTAAGTACTTAAGGTTATAACAAACTCGTTAGGAAGTAGAAGCAATAACTTTTGATTGTTTTGGCTATCAACCTTGAGGTGTCTTGGCTAACTTCATGAATAATATAGTGGTCTTGTTCACCGCATCCCAATCCACACAATCTAAACCCTCCAAGTCTAACCCCCGTTTTTGAAAAACCTAGTGAGAATCATACCATATGCCAATCCAATTTTTTTCTTGCCGTAATTTACGGACCTCATACTTTCACTCCTTTTGTTTATACAATCTACCATTAAAGCAATGAAGTTCATAGGTTTTTCATTCATAATATGCCACATTAGAGCCTTTTCATGATTTGACATTTACTCTTTTCCACCCAACTTAGACATGATAATTTCGTAATGGCATAATGAATAAACCTAATCTCGGGTTTAAAACTAGTCTTTGTCAAATACTTGTCATTCAACACTCCTTCAGACATGCTCATGACAACATTGTTTTCTAAATTCTTTCTCATTATAACTTGGTAGATTAGAAAGTTGTTTCCTTTTATTTAGGTTTTTCTTATCGAAATCAACAATCTACCCCTTCATTGGTAAATTGAAGTACACATGCATTTTTGCCTTTGTAATAACCACTCTAACACCTTTTACTTCTCCGAGTTAGAATAGTTTTCCCTTCAATCTTTTTGGATTTAAACTAGCATAGAAATACCTAACATAATTAGGGTATATATTTTTTGAAAACATCAATAGGTCTAGTAAACTCGATTTATCAAAATAATCTACCACATTAAATCCAGATCTTTAACAGATTATCAAAATTAATGTGCTTACCCGTAATGGTCCTCTCCGAGCTTATCACTTTGTTGTAATACGTTTCCCTCTCACGTTCGAAAGGAATGGTTTATCTTGCTGAGCCTAAACAGCTAAATCATGGTTATATTGAGGTTCCCGATTGTTTTCATCCTTTGCCTCCTTAAAAGGACGAAGAGGTTTACTACCTTTTTGTTTATCTCCCATGGATGATCGAAGGTTTTACAATCGAAAAGGAAAACAAATTAAAAAGGATGGATGCGTTTGTTATGAAAGATCGTGATCGATAAAACCATTTTTGGTAGAGATAATTGCATAAAGTTTTTGATTTTTCTAATTATGCAACCGATTAGAGTTCTTAAAAAGGTCGATCGGTGTTCCAAAAAGGCTTAATTTATTTAGAGTTAAACTAGTCCTTTGAACTTCTAACTCGGGCAAAATATTAAAATACAAAAGAATCCTTTGTCTAGTAAGTTCAATTCAGAATTTTAAGGATAAAAACGTAAATGCATGGCTTTCTTGTTGCATTCCTAAGAGATAACTATAATGATTTTTTTGTGGTAAGGCATGTAATGAATTATATTTAATTTTGGAAAATGTGAACTCGATTTACTTTCATGCTTTTTTCAAGTATACTAAAAAAGGTTTATTTAGTGTTTTAAAAAGTCTTGAATTAGTTGGAGTTAAATAGCTCGCTTAGTCTCTAACTTTGCACCATATTAAATTACAAAAGCATCCCTTGTCAACTAAGTTCAAATCACCATTTTTAAGGATAAAAAAATAATTTTGAAGGCTTTCTCATTGCATTCCCAAGAGATAACCGTAATGATTTGTTTGTGGTGAGCCATCTAAGCAATTATATTTAATTCTGGAAAATGGCTATTGATTTGCTTTCGTGCCTTTTTCAGTATGCTGAAAAACGTTTCTTCATGGTTCTAAAAAGTCTATGTTTAATTGATTTGGTTATTGGCAAGCTTTAATTCTCTAAACTACATTGAGATTTCAATCTTAGTATATCTATAAAATATAGAGGCTTGACATTATGATAAATAAAAATAGAAATGGTAACAAAATATTTATTCCATTTATTTTTTGATGAATTGACCATTTATTAAGACGAAAATAAAATGATATTTTGTGAAATAAATAGTAATCTTAACACAACTATGGTGCAATTAATTAATTATTTTCTTTCTTTTTTTAATTCACTAAAATATGATAATAAAATATGAAAGTTGGAATATCGTTTATATCTTGATATGTCATATATGTGAATTCCATCTATTTGTTTACATTGACCATTTGACTTATTTTTTACCATTAATTTAGTATATATCTTGATATTATGGAGATGAATTTAGTTGATATCTTAGTGTGTGATAGTTGACTTATTTGACCATTATTATGATATCATCGAGATGAATTTAGTTGATATCTTAGTATGTGATCATTGATATCTTATTACGTGATTGTTGACTTATTTGACCATTACGATGATATCATCGAGATGAATTTAGTCGATATCTTAGTATGTGATCGTTGATATCTTATTACGTGATCGTTAACTTATTTGACCATTACCGTGATATCATCGAGATATTACATACTATTACATGATCGTTTTATTGACCATTGACTAAGTTGATCACTACTATGATATAGGTTAGATTTCAAAAACATGGCATCGTTTTATTATAAAAATTTCACCGACACTCACGACACTTGATTTTCAAGCACGTAAATTGATATTTTAGCATACTAAAATTTTTAAATGTTATATTATTGGAGAAACACCTAGTTGTTTCACTTATCATTAACCATTAAAAATTTCAAACAGTTAGATAAGAGGGAAGAAAGAAAGGGATGCTTCAAATTTAAACAGATTTATAAGAAGGAAGGAATAAAGACTCTTTATATTCACCTTGGAATTTCGATTACGTATGCTTCAACTTGTCTTGGTACTCTAAAAACAAAATTATTATAGGTTAATCTTGTAAGAGGTTATAATTGTACGAGTTTTTGGCCTATTTAAACTATTATAAACTCTTTGTAAGATTACCGCACTTAATCTAAATTGATTAGTGAGAAGAAGCAAGATAAATGACAAAAAAATGTTCAATTAACCCAAGCCCTTACCAAACTCTTGGTTACATATATTCAAAAGCATTTGTCTTATTCAACTTTTAATTTTCTTCGATAATATTTTTTAACAAGCTGATTTTTTTTTGTATGATTCATTTCATGTAAATAGATAAGCAACCCATAAGAGCTGATGAGCCCTCATCCCCTCCGGCATTTCAAATGTTGTTCTTTGAAAGCAAGAACAATCATAATGAATGGAAAGCCGAGGTGAAAGAGTTCCCGCAACGCTCGTCTACTTTGGTGAACACAAGGTTACTATAATGCTACCCCTTTGATGTGTCTATGCAATATATGGCTCAACAAAGAACCCCCGAGTCCTCTTCATTCTCTAAGCTACAATAAGGATTGTGGGGAAGGAGATAGCAACATGAATGTGAAGAAAACACATGGAAGGCTAAGGAAGCTTTTTGTTGTCACTATTAGTGACAATTTTGAAAAATGATTTCAATGCGGGTCTTGTTATATTTTGATTATGATATCTTTGATATCTACTTTTTCATTTTATTTTATGGACTTTAATTAATGTTTTTATTATGACACTTATCAATTATGACGTATTGTGATATCCGTGATTTTATGGACATTTTCAATTATCAACTTTTGTGATATCTCGTGATTAATGGATGTTTTCGATTATCAACTTTTATGATATATGTGATTTAATGGACATTTTCAGTTGTTAACTTTTTAATGACAATTGATACACTATCATTTGATAATGGTGAAAATAATGTTGGTACTGACTAAAAGACTTAACCTTTCTTTAAGAATCCAACAAAATAAATTGATGTATACTAACAAACTCGTCATTTGATAATGCAATTGAAAACGAAGGATACCAACTTTTCAAGCACATTTATTAGCATTCGAAAACAAAAGGATGGATTTTTCTAACTTGAAAATAAAGGATTTTGACTTTTTAGCATACTAATTAGCATTTTAAAAACACCACTTTGGTTTTCTATAACTTGAAAAACGAAGGATTTGGACTTTTTAGCATACCGACTAGCATTATGAAGACACTATAAAAATTCTTTAGTTGCGAGTACATCGATACATTGTCAATTTTGACATGCTGGAACTAAGTATTGGCATACTGAAATCCAAATTTATAAAAGTTTAATAAATTTTACGAGTTAGTCATGTTCCAAAATAATCGGTGTTTTCTACCGAAGTTACTACAACATTAGAGATCGAAGGTCTTGCAGAAGCATTTTCAAGCTTCTTCTTTCTTTTTTTTTTTTTTTTTTTTTGTTCCTTGCTTTAGTGGATTCATACTATTGTCTAGAAACCAACCTCTTTCCTTTTGGCTTGCCTTTGCATGTTACCATAGCTCGGATCCTTAAGCATAATGCATTCTTATGTACTAACCACTTTAGTAGCCATAACATCAGTTTCATTGTTGTTACTCGCCATCTCAACACCAAGTATTACTAGTGGTCATTTTTTTTAGTTTGGAAAAAACGAGTCATTCAATGATTTCTTCATAAATGACATCAATGTCCCATTAGAAATGGCAAGATCACTGCTTCATAGAACGTTTTTTCCAATTCCCTAATTGAAGATAGATGTTATGTCACGCTATCATTACCGACCAAACTAGTGATGATCTTATTACGACATCCGGCTATATCCTTCCTCCAACGTCTCAACGGATACTTGCCTATAACTATTCACCAACAACCTAAATACATGTCCGCACATAATTCCTTTGAAATCAAACGACCTACGGTTATAAGATACATCATTATTAGAAGGGTTATATGCTACCTTATATTCTAATAGCTTTGTAGTGCCATCTTTCGTAAAAACCCTCTTTGAAACTTTCTAGATGATATCGGGACCTTTTAATTTCAAGTACACCGCATCACAATAGTTCATATCACATAGCTCAAATTGTATTTTACGAAACATCAAATTGGTGTAAGCACTCCGAAATTGAAGCTCCAATAGGAATTTGGTCTATAAAGTAACTATAATGTTCATGATATCAAAATCAGCATGTTTTTCTTTCTCAAACTTATCTCGTAAAGTAATTTTATATTGCTCTATGAATTATTTTAGTGTGATCCGAGAATGCACATAACCATTAAAATATGCATTCATACTCTTAATCCGTTGAGTAGATGGCATGCACCTGCCGTAAAACATCTTTCATAAAAGCTGGAACCCATCACTGTCTCTCTTCATACAATTCAACCAGCCACTTATTACCTTTTAAGTCAAAATCTTTAACCATTTTATCCCAACCCCTCTCAAATTCTTTGATTGTCAAGCTTTTATACACAACACCCATGAAAGCTTCTCATAAGTCATGTTTCTTCTTATGACTCTTGAATTTCTCTAAAAACTTTGTTAGAATATGCCATAAACACCATCCGTGTCTAGTGTTTCGCATAGACTATGCAATAGCTTTATTGATGCTTTTGCATTGATCGATGATGATGGCTTTTGGTGCAACATCGCCCATGTAACGTAACCAATTCATAAATAACCAATCAAAAGTCTTTGCCTCCTCATCGTGTAATAAAGCACAATCGAGAAGTATTGATTGTAAGTGATGATTGACGTCGATAAATGATGCAAATGGCATGTTATATCAATTAACCAAATAAGTCATATCGAACGTAACAACGTCCCTAAATTCTTGATAAGTAGCCTTGCTTTAAGCATCTACTCATAGAACATTCGTCAACCTACCTTCATCATCATTTTTAACTTTGTAGAAGAAATCTTTATCACACCCTTTCATTTTCAAGAACACCTTCAAAAAAGCTATAGCATCACCTTCATCTTTGAGCCTTCTCCTCCTTGAATGATCAATAAAATTCCTACAATCTTTAATTAGACAAGGCATCTCCTTTGCACCTCCAGCTTGCACCATAATATAACCGATATTCTTGCTTGGTCGAACACCTACCATGTCATTAATCTCTAACTTTCTCTTCATGTGTGGAGGGATAGACCTATGCTCGCCTAATAAACCTTGTCATCTTTGGATCCATTTCATGGTTATGATTTTTGATGACATGGTTTATCTTCCATTTCCCATCTTTGCCCAGATGATGCTTGTCGGTTTATCGGCCAACCAATTTCGTTCATAGTCTTAGGATGGGGATGAATCCTTTCACGATAACACGAGATGGTTTGGAATTTATGAACACCATCAATCTTTTATGAATAAGATTCACAATAGCAAATCCCATTGATCTTGCATACTTCGGTAGGAAAGGAATATATCTTCAACATCACTCGAATTCCATCCCGACTTCGATGCTTCAAAAGTTTCAAAATTCTTAAACTCTTCATCCCTATGAATACGAACTCGCATTTTCTTCATCATTGTGAAATTCTTCTTCCTCTTCATAGCTTGATATTTTCACATTTGAGTTTTTGATTTCTATATTCAAATCATTGTATTCATCATCCCCACAAATGGAACGTATAAGCTCTTGTCTATCCATCAATGTAAAATGAGTGTGCTAGAAACTCAATATAGTGTGCTAAAAAACTCAATATAGAGTGCTAAAAATAATATATTTCATAACCGACTCCGTTATGTGACTAAAAATATTCTTCAACAGCTTATTTCTTAACATTAAATATTATTTGTTAAGTAATTTTCTTTCTAAATTCCTCTTCATCATTGGCATAATTGAGAATCCAAACATGACATGATAAACAAGATGGACTAGTCCGAAAATCCATCGGTGCAAATCTAGTGTGCTGAAAGAGTGTGCTAAAAATGATATAACTCTTAGTTCAACTGATATGTCTTAGCATATTCTTCAACCGGTATGTCTTACCATGAAAGTATTATTTGTAATTCATTGCTCAATTGAGAATTCAAACCTCACATGATAAAAATGTGAAGGATTTATCTTAAATTTATTGCTTTAAATATTGTTGGTTATCCATTAGTGTAAATATAATGTGTTGAAAGAGTGTACTAAAAACGATATACTTTTTAGTTCAACCGATATGTCTTAGCATATCTAAGACTATTATGTCTTACCATGAAAGTATTGTTTGTAATTCATTAGTCAATTGGGAATTCAAACCTTACATGATAAAAATATGAAGGATTTATCTTAAATTTATTGCTTTAAATATTGTTAGTTATCCATCGGTGTAAATTCAACGTGCTGAAACAAGTGTGCTAAAATTTATATATTTCATAGCTGACTTGTTATGTGTTAGAATATTCTTCAACAGTTATTTCTTAACATTAAATATTGTTTGTAAGCAATTGTCTTTCTAAATTTCTCTTCATCATTAGCATAATTGAGAATCTAAACCTTACACGATAAACAAGGACTCGGTTTGAAATATATTAGTTTATATATTGTTTTCCCTCCAAAAATAAAATATCCAACTTTTTTCCCTCCTTTGTATCCCTCCAAAAAACACTCGCCCTTATAAAAGTATGGTAACTTTTTTTTTGACATCACTAGTGTCATGTAGTACTACTCAAAAAATTAACATCAAATGGACATAAGCTAAATATAACTAAAAATATCAAAATATATGGTTGGAGCTTTTTTTTTTGACACCACTAGTGTAATGTAGTGCTCCTTTTGTTTTTTTTAGAGTTTTATTTTCCTTTACTTTCTAACTTTTTTTCATTAATTAATATTCAAAAAAAGAAGCTATGTCAACCCTAAAGTAGCACAACCAAATAATCCTTGTATTTTGCTTGTTGCAATCTCTATTTTTGTTCACGTTTATGTTTGTTGAACTTCAATCATTTCTAAAACCACTCAAGCATTTTCATTTATGTGTTTATGGCTTTCTATTTATGTTCTCTTCATTATCTTGTCTATTTTTTTTCTTCTTTAATGGGTTGATATAAGCCTAAATATTCAAGCCATAAAATTAAATTGAACTCGAATGTTGAGATATTTGTCAAAAAAGTGTTTGTTGCTTTACTCGTAACAATGCTTATATTTACTTTCATCAACTTTCTTTGTTATTTTTTTTTATTTCATCCAAGTGTATAGCTTGGATATTTTCATATCCATTTCATAGTTGTTGATGATGTTAAGCTCATTTTCCCTTTGATCGCTTCTAGTGACTTGTCCCAATGCAACGGCTAAACAAACATCTTCAATTGATTCGAGTGAGAAACTAAATAACATCCGACATTTGGAATACATATTTTTTTTTTTAAAAAAAGCATATTAGGTGATTCCCTAAAATAACCAATTAACAAACCAATCATGAAAATGGGAATTACATGAAACATATGGGGTGCAACTATTTCTAGCCAAAAATAGTTGCATCTTAACTCAACTTGCCAAGGCATAGCATTAATGGTGAATAAAAATGCATGGAAAAACATATATAGGTACTCATGAAATGAATCAAACAAATAGTACAAAGACTACATGCAATCTCAAGCTACCGTAAAACACAAGCACATTAAATGATTCAGGAAAAACTTTGCCATGAAGAAACAATGAAGAATTAAACTCCTTAATGACAATTTCTACATGCTTTCTATAGAGAATTAGGGGACGTTAATATAACAGCATCCCATGATTGACATGAATTAAACAAAAAATTTAAAAAGCATTTCAATACTATCATTTAAGTAGTCTCCAAAAAGCAAAGATCCACTAATTCAATGCTATGTAACGATCAAGAAAGCTTTAAAAAATCTTCTAGGATAGCAGATCATGCTCCATTTTATTTCGAGATATAGTGAGAATGGGGTTAAGAAAAAAAAAGGTGAAATAAAAAAAGGACACACAAACGAGATAGTTAATATACATATGTACAACAATAGTAAGAATGGATGTCACTAAGTCCCATCTATGCCTCAACCGGTACGATCATTCATTTATAGTCACTTGTTCCCACCTACAAAGGTAAAAAAATATAAATTAGTTTAAAATTTGAAATAATTACCATCCACAATCCATCACGATTTTAGTACATGTATGGGTTTTGAATTCACTAAATTATATCATAATTCAAAATATACCTTAATTTGTTGCCGGATTTGAGAAGGCTTTGAATAAAGTACTATTAATTAAATCCTCAACTCTTATGAAATGCATTTAAAAAATATTCAATATAGCCCATCATCTACACAACGGAATGAAGGTAGTTAGTCCTTGGCCTATATGTTTTTTTGTGAATCAAAACTTACTTGTGGCTAGAGTTGCATGTATCATTAAAAACATGAAATTTCCTTTATTCTCTCATTAACAACCTCAAACTAACGGCATGAAATATGAAAACAAATTTATATCAATGTAACTTAAAAATAAAAAATTAGTATGTAATAATTAGAAGAAGGCCAAAACAAAAATAAAAAATGAAAAAAAGAAAAGAAAAGATACTCATGAATAGTTCTTAAATTACGATAAGCTAATAAGCTTTAGTAGATACTTTTCATAAGTATCTTTTAAATAATCAAGTAGGCGAGATGAGTTCTAGTTATGATACAAGCTTTAATAGATTCAATATCATTCAATTTAGCACTACTTTGTACAATAAATTATGCACATGAATCGATAGTCCGAATCATAAGCTTCTAGTCATCTATTGAAAAAAACCAATCCAAAACAACTCTCTACCCATGTCTCTTTATCTCCATAATAGAAAATTCAAGCCACCATAGCCATGGAACTATACTATGAGCTACCCAAAATCTACAATAGTCAATTGAGCTTAATGAGAAATACGAGTGCAAAGCATGTATAAAATTCATATTACGTAACTTATAATTATATGGAAATTCAATCTATAGAGTTTCTAGGAAAATCTGTATTATCTTCTTATCAAGTTTACAAACCTCTCAAAGAATGACTTGCTTGTTTGTGAAGAGTTCCTCAATCGCCACCACCACATAGAAGCCACCTTTAGAACTCCGTAAAACCACTAGATCCACCAATAATTCATCATTTAATTTACAATTTTTCATTAAACACACTTGCTTTAAAATTCATAATCATGAACCCATCTCCTCAACAAACATTTTATACAATTTCAATAACCACCCACCTACCAACCAAATATGGCAACCACCACCACCACCATACATACCCTTTGCCTTTAAAATAGAAGGCTTCTTTCGGATCTAAAAATGATTTTTTTAAAAAAAAGAATATCTCGCTATCAAACATACTTGCTCTAAAATCCTAAAATCTTCAACCCATCTCTTTACAAACCTTTTGTACACTTTCAAGAACCACCTCGCCCACTAAATCCGGTAGCCATCACATATAGTTTTGCCTTTAATATAGAGTGTTTTTTTAGATCTAAAAGATGAATTTCAAGAAAAAAAGAAAAAAAAAGGAAATTGAGTTTTTGTTCATGAGAGTTAACATACCTTTTTTTTTTTTTTTAGATTTAATAGATGAGATTGAGAAGGGACGGTGAGTTTCATTTATGAAAGATGATATTGAAGAGAGATCGATGGAGATAGGGTTTTTTTCTTGATGATGAAACTGGTTAGAGGAAAGACAAGCAACAATGAATAGAAAAATAATAAAAAAAAGAGATGGGAGCATCCATGGGGAAAGGGCTAGGGAAAGATAAAAAAAAATTATTAAAACCAATGTGTTTGCAACTCGAAAGGAAAAGGAATAAGAGATAAAATTTAAAAACATATTTGAAAGAAAAAGGAAAGAATCGTGCGACTTGGATCAACGTGGGTTGCAAAACATCTAATTGAACAACCAACAATCATGGAAAGAAGTCAAAATAGTATTAATTTTTAGGAAAAAAGAGGAAGGAAATAGAGAAGAGAAAGGAGAAAAGAGCAGTCTATAAATCAAAGAAACACAAAGAGATAAGAAGAACGAGATGGTCGAGAGAGAGGAAGGGTACGCACAAGTACATCCATAATACAATCGAATCTATATAAGCGAGTAGCTAAATAGTTACAATCCTCATTGTTTTAATTTTGTTTGTTAATAGTTGATTGGAATAGGAAATCTCTCTCGATGTATGGGAATTGGGAAAAACATTACATGGTTCTTCTCTCACATCATAAAGTTTTGCCAATTACCACATTATTCCTTCGTGGAAAATATGTTCTAAGTAGGTAGAAAAATATCCAATACACTTGTAAATTTCATGGGCATTTCGTTGTTAGTGTAGGTGCCTAAAATCTAACCTTAATTAGATGACTTGAGTTATTGTAACATTGCATCATTTATTTAATAAAAGAAGTCTTTCTATTAATTTTTTTTTGTTTATATTTATTTATTGAATAGAATTAGATAGAATTCCATATGATATGCATTTGCATTAATGATTGATCATAAGATGTGAGATAAACATTAATACACTTAAATGATATCATTAAATGTCTCAAGTTGTAACATTATCAAGAATGAATATTGACTATATACG